GTTACTTTACTGATATCTTCAGTAAACTTGGAGTTTTGTAACAGTAGTTACTTTACTGATATCTTCAGTAAACTTGGAGTTTGTCACTTTCACAAAGAAACTCATTAGCTATGATTTCATTAAGCTCACCCTCACTGTGTTTCAGCGATAAAACCGTAGTGTGATAACGTTAAAATTTAAGGCTCGATTCTGCGATGGGCGTAGCACAGATATCTCATTGTGTAACTGTGTGCTTAATACGACATGTATTGTAATCATTGTATAGTGTTGTTACACATGGTTCATTAATTCATAATTAAATCTCACTAAGTGATTCTATTTAGTCTATATATCATAAAGCTACTGTATTTACATTTTAGCTACATCACAAAATATATCGTCAGTATTATATATATATATATAAGTTCTGTTCTTAAAAAGTGTTTTAAACAAAACTATATTAAAACACGTAAATTATTAGCACAGTTTACAGTCAGTGCTATTAATATAATCTTAAAACAGATGAAATAATGTCCGAGTTTTAGTTAGGCATGGTTAGTAGAAAATAAATCGTTTTTGTTTATCAAATATTATACTTAAGTCTATGTTCAATGAACCTTCCAGAAGGTTAGCTTGCGTTGTGATCCATTTTTTTAATGTCTTGGAAAAACATGGAATGTATACTTTTTTTTAGAAATACTTTACGATTCAAACAATTTTGACTTCATTATGTAATCTAAAGTATTTTGCTCATTTTAATAAAATTTTAATCTTGAATTGTTATTGAAATATATATAAATATGAAAGGAGAAAAACTCAAGTTGCTTTCATGTACAACGTTTTTGTTCTTGAGGAGTGGTAAAAACCAGAACTTTATTAAAATATATCAAACATATTAGTTTGTCTACAGAGCAGTTTCTGTTTCACTTGCAACGGCTTGCAATGACGTGATAGTTCTTTTTGTTACTATTATTTTGCTTAATTGTTACTAGTAAATAACTAACTTATTCATGACTTCGTCCTTTTTCTTAGTTATGTAAATTGACTTATGTGATCTTTATATCTTTGTAGTAAGGGAAATTAACTAAACTGAATTCAATCATCAGTTCTCAAATGATACGTGACTGGTTTTTTTGCGCTGTCAAAGCATGAGAAGGTCGAGTTAATCCTGCTGTTAATCCAAGCTTGTTTCGAATTATAAGAACAGCATGTGGAACACATTCTGTAAAATGCGTTGAAATGCATCTATGGTTCCAGTCTTTTCAAAGACCATGTACTACAGACAAGTCTAAATACACAGTAAAAACTGAAGTAAATTGTCAGTAACAGAGTCAGAAGAAACTGCCCTAAATAAAGAGCTAAATTTCGACTTACCACATGATAAAATACTCACTTTAGATGTATATGTAGCATTCATCCACATAAGGCACAGTTTACTAAATGAAAAAATAGGAATTCACAGTGAAAATAAAGTCAACAATCCAGAAATCCACGGAATCTCAATCCTTACTATAATAACACCGCCATGTAACTATGGTCAAAGAGGAATACGTCATTATGCTTTAAACGTTTTTAGAAAATGGCGACTACACGAAGTTCAAGTCTAACACAGCAGAAAAGCTTAATCAATTCCTCAAGAAACATCAAAAAGAACTTGGAAACCATAGATCAAACCATCGCAACAATGTAAAGACGAACATTATAGACTGCTTTCTATCCAGAATAAACAAGATTTGTAATTCGGAGTTTTGTAAGAAAAACCCCCACTTTACAAAGTATACTCGAGACACTTGATAAAGAAGACATTGGAGAAGATAAATACCAAAAAATAAACAATTACAAACATACAACCATAACGCCATATGTAATAAGTCTCTTAGAAAACATACAGAAAATATGCAAACTGTATAAAGCCTAGAGCTAGAACAGTATTGAAAAACCTCAATACAATACGATGAAGTTAATACACACCAAATCACCTGAAGACTCAGTTAAAAGAAGAAACACTATTTACAATATCTTTTGTGAATTTGGACTCGAGTACACTGGAGAAACATAAATATCAACAAAAGTCAGAATTCAATAACATAATAGACATACAAGACTCTGTAATACCGATTTATTTACAATAGTCCATACAGTAGATATAATAGTATAGAATTAATGGGATATGATCCATACACACACAAAACAATAGAATAAAAGAAGCCTTTTTCATTCTATAAAGGGAAAACACGTAGAAGTCAGCAAAACTTGAACAACTCTTCCAAATCAACTCAAATATTAGATTATTCAATGTCTGAGGGGTGAGAGGGGGGAGACCCCAGTCGAGTGAATAGCGCACAAGCCTTACTAACAAGAATATCCAGGATTGGATCCCAGCCCCTACCGTTTAATCAATCCTTCCGAAATGTAAAATATGAGCTGATGTTAGTATCTTTACAACTTAGTTACTAATCAATAACTTAACGTAATAGGTGGTTCTACAGGCTACTAATCACGAATACAACTGATATTCGATCGCCAGATAATCACTGAGAGTACATATAACATCATTTGAAAGACAGTGATATACGTTGCATAAGACACGTACTTTACACAAAACAAACAGTTACTACTGTATGAATATAACTAAAAACACAGCTAACACCATAAAATATAGTGTTATATTTTACACAAAATACACAATTACCGCTGTATGAATATGGTGCATATAATACCACATGGAGCACAATGCTATATTTTACACGAAACATAGAATCAATGCTGTATGAAGAATAATAAATAACAACAGACTAGATGTACTTCCGCAGGGTCTCCGAAAGTGTTTTGTTTCAAGAATAAATAAAACCAAACCTAAGAGTGACAAGTATTTTTATTCCTTGCTTTTCAAGTTGGTAACTACAAAATTAATTTTGACAACAATATAGATAACATGAAATTCACTGTCATGACTTATATAAAAGAAACACTAATTGTGTTATATCTCTATATGAAAACTAAAATCAACAGACAATTTTCGCATGAAACACAGTATTATATTCTGCATAAAACACACTCACCAATTATTGGTGT